CCCTAAACCCTAAACCCTAGAGTTGAAGGGCTTGAGGCTTCAGTGGTGCAAGGCCTACGGCTTTTGAGGTTCGGTTTAGGGCTTCGACGGTTCTGGGATTTAGAGTTTAGGGGTTTAGGGTTTAGGGTTTAGGGTTTAGGGTTTGGGATTTAGAGTTCTAGGATGTTCTAGGCTTTAAGGCTTTACAGGTTTAGGGTTGAGGGTTTGGTTCCCTAAGCCCTTTTAAAGCCCTAAACTTTTAAAGACTTTGGGTTTAGGGTTTAGTTCCCTTAGCCCTGTTAAACCCAAAGCGTTTCTGCTTTTGGGGGTTTCAGGTCCTACGAGGACAAGGGGAGAGCTGGTCACTGGGATGGCTGGAGGGTTTAGGGCCTAGCGTTTAGGGTTTAGGGGTTTAAGGGTTTAGGGTTTAGTTAGGGTTTAGGATTTAGGGTTCGGGGTTTAGGGGTTTAGGGTTTGGGGTTTAGGCTTTCCAGTCTGGAGGGGAAGGGTCTTACACTCATCGGTTTCAAGGATTGAGGCTTCAGGGGATTCCCCTCAAAGGGCTGCTATATGGTTTCTTTTAGGGGTTTAGGGTTTAAGGTGTGTGTAACGGTACCATATAAGGCTATGTAGGGTCTCTGGCTTTGCGAAGTTTTTGGTTTCAGGTCTCCGCTATAGACATGTACGGCTTGAAGCAATGCTTATGCACCTGGGGCAGGGCTGCAAGCTTGTGCTGAGAGTCTACGGGGTCTCTTAGGTTTGCTTATTCAGAGCCATGTCGTGTGTAGAGAGTGCTTAGACATAGAAGTCAAGTCAAGAGTCATTGTAAGAGCAAGACCTAAACAGAGCAAGATCGTTCTTGTCAAGTACCCTGATCCTTGCAGCCAAGCCCTAAAGCCTAAACCCTAACAATTGCAGACCCGCAAAAAAAACCCTAAACCTTACAGCCCTAAGCCCCACACCCTTATAAACCCGAACTGGGGGGCGGCGCAGCCCTGTAGCATCTTGAAGCCAAAGCTTATAATTTAGGGTTTAGGGTTCATCCCCAAACCCCNNNNAAACCCCAAACCCCAAATCCCAAACTGGCTCCTGGCCAATTTCTGCCGGAATATACCCCCAAAACGCTACTCCGAAGTCTACACTAGAATCACTAGAACACCTTTGATGGCTTGGTATGTACAGGCCCCTCCAAGCCAGAATGATTTGCTTTTGTTCCATGCTCTACCTGCCTGCCTGCGAGGCAGTCCGCGTGGGAATTGACTACCGTACCTTAGGCCACGGGTATTCGGGGGAGGGGGGGGGGGGNNGGGGGGGGGGGGGGGGGGGGGATGAAAAGATAGCGAAACCGCAAACCATCAATGCCTCATCTTAACCCTGTCGTTCCGAGACCCTGAGCCCCAATTCTCAAAGCCCAACCCTATAGGGGCCTAAATAATTGCCGATACTATTTTTGGGGGGGTTCCTAATTATAATTATAGTATAATATACCCCTGAACCCTATTTTAGTTATTGAGGCCCCTACATTACTCTTGGGACCTCACAACTCACAACTACAGTACGACTTCTGAGATGCCTAAGAGACGCCTGTCCCCGGACGCTCCAAAGAAGATATGTCAGGCTTCAGTCAGCCCCAAACTCTCAACCTTCAACGCTTTCAGATCTGAAGGTTTATAGGGTCTAGGGGTTTAGGGGTCTAGGGGGTTTAGGGTTTAGGGTTTAGGGTTTTGGGGTCTAGGGTTTAGGGGATTTAGGGGGTTTAGGGTTCAGTGTTTAAGGACTTATTCATTAAGGGCTTAATGGTTTAGGGTTTCGGGCTTAAGACCTTAATCTGTGAAAGCTCCGACCTCAGGGCACGTTGGGATCAGCACATCCCTGGTCGTTCTCTTGCGCCGACCCTAAACCCTAAACCCTACAACCCTAAGCCCGAAATCCTAAACCCTATAACCCTGCACCCTAAATCCTAAACCCTAAACCCTAAACCCTAAACCCTAAGTCTTGCGCCTTGCACAGGGTTTTCAATCCCTTTTTGGGGGTTCCCTGGGTGTGGGTCTATCGGGCGCTAGAGCCCCGATCTTCCACCCTCATCACCAACACCGCCGTCGCAGCAAAGCTGGAGAAGCTGGTTTAGGGTTTAGGGTTTAGGGTTTAGGGTTTGGGTGATGATCAACAAAGGAGGTACTGCGGCCGTATCGCGCAACCATCGAATCGATGGCAATCTCAACAGTTGCCAAGGCAATAACGCTAACACACAGAGCCGTAAACAAGAGTCCCTCTCTCTCTCTCTATGCATATATATATATATATATGTATATGTATATACACACCTACTGTACATGTGTATGCGTGTTAGTGCATGTATACAGACACATATGAGTCACATACATATTTTTCTACAAATATATATATATATATATATATATATAGACACATCACTTATGCGTGATGACAGATCTTTATGGATGTATATCTGTATATATATATATATACACACACACTACACCCACATACAGATACATACCGCTTCTGTGCTGATCTGTTGGTTATGTGCTAAATGACAAGCCTTATGCCACGCCGCCATGTAGGATGTGAGCATACATGCTTGCAGACACATATCATGCCGTCATTCCTGTATTTGTTGTTGTTACTCATTGCTTCTACTCTGATACTGCCCCTATTACCGTCGTTGCTGTACCCTAAATCCTGAACCCGAAGCCCTACCTTAACCCCAAATAGCCTACCTTTTTAAGGACCTACAGTATATAAAGAAATCATAATAAGCAACCCTAGAAAGGTAGGTTATTTGGGGTTAAGGTACACCCTGTTCTTGAAAGTGTCCCAGGGCTTGGCTGGTCGCACCCAAACACTCGCCGGCAGAGTCTGGGACTGCAGTTTGCGATGTCGCTTAGGGTTTAGGGTTTAGGGGTTTAGGGTTTAGGGCTTTAAGGTTTGGGTTGGGCATGAACTTATGAAACCGTCCTGAGGGTTCTGCGTGCGATGTTGGGTTTAGGATTTATGCAAAGTCTCCATTGTATATAGCTCCTTTTTTGGTCAACCAAATTTATACTATAGGATCCTCAGGATAAAAATGGTTAGCCAAAAAGAGGGAACTGCAATGGAGGCTATGGATATAGGCCTTGAGGACTTTGTGCTCAGGGTTGAGGGATGTTGAGGGGGTCTATGGCTTGAGGGGTTTAGGGGCGAGTTTCTTTGCAAGCGTGTCATCCGTTGCTAAGAGGGCAGTAGACATCAACGAACACCACCGAGAATTTTGATTAAATTTTAGGTCGCAGGATTGTGAGGGGTTCCCCCAAGACCAAGGGGACCCTCTCCTGGCTTTACTGTTTACCCTAAACCCTGAAACCTAAACCCGAATCCCTAACCCCTTAGCCCTAAACCCTAAACCCTAAACCCTGAACCTAAATATACCCTGCCTGCTCGCCTTTAGTGCGCCAGCTTCCAGCCTTGAAGGCGTCGCATGGGTAGTTCTCTAATTTGTGTAAGGGCCTTTTTGAATTGAGTTTAGGGTTTACGGTCCTGTTTCATAAGGGTGTTTTTTAAATAACCCTTGCCCATTATTTGAGGACTTTGGGGCCTTTTTGGGGGTATCTACAACCATAAATAAGGACTACTTGGACCCTTAGGGTAATGGTTTAGGGTTTAGGGTCCTGGTTTATAAGGGTGCCGTGCTATCTTTGAGACCTACAAAAAGGGGGCCCTAACAAAAGATGACTACCCACATGACCGACATATATCGGGTCCAGCTATACCAGTTGCATGCGGTGTTCGGAAACTCCGGCTTATGATCTCCATCGAAAGCAGAGTCGAGCAGGATTTGACGTGTTTCAACCCAGCAATGTGAACTACCCATGGGCCCTAAAGTAGTTCCTTTTGGGGGTTCATATATAGAATCCTATAAGGTAACCCCAAAGAAGAACTACTATAGGGCCTATGGGTAGACCGTATATAGAGATCCTTTGACTGAAGTAGTTGCTCTTAGACAACCAAGTTTCATGGTTCGCGGGAGCCATTTGTTGCGGCGAGCAAGGTAATCACCGCAGAGACTGCGATTGAGGGTCGAGGTAAAGTACTTCATCGATTCTCAAGTTTTACCCATATACCCTTTTCTGTTGTTGAGCCTCCCTATCAAGATTGAAGAGTAGGGTTCACAGGTTGTCTTTACTTTGGGGACCTACCCAATGGAGTCACACTCTCAGGTATCGGCTGGGCCAACACGCCTCCATCTCCTGCCCGGAGTCGAGGCAGTACCGTTTCTTGGTAAAAAGACGAAGCCAATACTAGGTTCCTGGATCTACCGGTAGAGACCGGTACTGCCCCAGCCAAGATGTCATCCACGATCTGTTCCACGAGTTGTCCATTAAGGACATCAGCAGCATGTAGAGGTCGGAAGCGTTAGTCACAACGTCTCTTACAGTACCCATTTACTTCCCTTATCATCTCTCCCAGAACGGCTTATTCTGACTACTGTACCAAGGCCCCTGATCTAGGGCCCTTAATACCGACCTATACTCTTTTTTTGGGGGTTCCTTTTTTGTAACCCTAAACCCTAAAACCCTAAACCCTAAACCCTAAACCCTAAACCCTAAAGTATAATATAACCCCCAAGAAACCTATTCTAATTCTTAAGGCGCCTAGCGAACCCAAGAGTCTCGAGGAGTAGAGGTCAACATCACGCCAAGATTCCTCGTACAGCTCAAAACACGATGCTTAAAGGGTTTATAGTTTGGGGTTTCGGGATTTAGGGTTTAGGGTTTATAGTTTGGGGTTTCGGGATTTAGGGTTTAGGGTTTAGGGTTTAGGGATTAGGGTAGGTCAAGTAAGCCAGAGGACATCACCTAAAGAGCTGCCGAAACTTACCGCAGAGTGTCGCGCTGCTTTCGCATTGGAGAAATACTGCCCCAGGCATTCTACATGATCTCAGAATCCAACGTGTCTGTGTACGACACAGGAGTGTCGTGAGGGCTCTATTGTGTTTCTTAACCTGTAATTCGGTGTGTCACGGCGGGATTACACGGGCGGAACAGCGTCGAGGGAGTCACACTATGATCCTCATCGGTGTACCTCCCTAAACCCTAAACCCTAAACCATCACAAACATGAAGACAAAGGCCCCTGCAGACTCTGAAGACGCCAGGATCCGTCAGACATGACACTGGCCGGGAGCCCCAAACCCTAGAAGTTGAACAGCAAAAGCTGGCGCTAAAGCCTAAAGTCCGGAAGCCCTGAAATCGAATCCCTAAACTACCGGAGTTCAAAATCCTAAGCCCTAAATAATCCCTTCCGTTGGTTTACGCCATAAACCATAGAACCCGGCATTGAACCCGAAAGCCCTGCCACAGGGCTCGTGCTGAGCAGTCCCGTTCTTTTCTCCACGATGCAGGGGCCCGAAGTATGTTTCGAGTTGTTCCTTGGGGTTTAGGGTTTAGGGCGCAGGAACGTTGATCCTTAACTTGGCTTCGCCCCCAGGGTTTGCATGCTGTTCACAGTTTGGCATTCAATTCATATTCTGTCATTGTACTGGGGTGGACTAGGGGGGGTGTCCACAGGACAGGACAAGTAGGTACTTGGGTTTTGTGATTGTAGTATGGCAGGTTATTTTTGGGAGGAGCAGAAGGACGATCATGCACTTGGACCCCTGGGTGTCCGGCGGGTTTAGCCGTCAGTTCCTGCACGCCTTCCCAGAGAGGGCGCCCATGCGCACAAGCAGTCACGGATTTCCGTAGCAGACTTCGACCATGTCGAGCGGCTGCAGCCCTCAATCCCGGAGTCCTAGCATCAATGATCGAGGGGTTGTGGGTTTTCGACTCGTGTGCAACACTCATGTCGGTTACCGCCGAAGTTTCACTGCTCAGCGGCAAGACAGCTACTGTGCAAGCACGCCTGGACGAAAGAGTGGAGACGTTGAAACAACGGGCGCAGGTCGCGCTTGGAAGCAGGAAAGGCATGCTGCTGAATGCCTCTGGAGTCGTTCTGGACGGACGCGCAGAGATCACGGATTCCGGGATTCAGAACGGTGACTCGCTGACCCTGCACATAAGCAGGGTTGAAATTCAGTCCTGCAATAGGGCTTTCGCTGCCCTTCTTGGCGATGGATCCGTTGTAACTTGGGGCAATGCTAGGTCTGGTGGTGACAGCAGTGCTGCGCAGGGTCAGCTGCAAGACGTACAGCAGATCCAAGCCTCTGACGCCGCTTTTGCTGCCATTCTTGGCGATGGATCTGTTGTGACCTGGGGTCATGCTGCCCTTGGTGGCGACAGTAGTGCTGTGCAGGGTCAGCTGAAGAATGTGCAGCATATCCAGGCTAGTATGACTGCATTTGCTGCCATTCTTGGTGATGCATCGGTTGTGACCTGGGGT